ATGAATTAATTGAGTGACATCTTGGTGAAGGTGACAGAGGAAGGCTTGTGGGAAGATTACAAATTATAGTGGAGGGCTTGTATCTCTCTGTCGTGGAACCCTTACCAGTCACATTCCCTATCTGTTTCTATTCATATGTGATTATGGACTGAAAATAAGAAGAAGGGCTACAGCTGTTTTTTGTCAAAATTGGACAATTTTATATCTGTAATCTTGCAGCCAGAGCGGTTGAGCCGATATATTTAATGACTCACTCTAGACAGACTAAAGCCTGTCCCTGAGAAATGACGAGAAAAACCATTAATCTTTTCTAAAATAAACAGGGAGTTATAGCAGCTCTTTAATCTGAAGAGTGGAGATCCTGAGCTGGAACGCAGCACCCAAGGGCCCGCCAAATTCCATGATGAGTGAAGAGTTCCAGATAATAATTGATTGTGGGATCATTTTCTCTGTGGTCTCTGGGGGGTGCTCATAGTGTCACCAACATTTAAAGAGGCCTTAGCAAAGGCCAGCTTTCCAGCTCCATGTGAAAGAAAGACTTGTCATCATCTGTGGCCATCAAGAGAGTTGCTTTTCTAAGCTTGCTTCGAAGCCTGGGGGTGCCTGCTTAGTTAGCATTTTGCCATTGGTTGTCTATCCCTGTGTCCTATTCATGCCACCTTGCCCAATCACTCCCATCCACAGAAGTTCCTGCATATCCCAAGGCATAGGACAGAGAGCTTCTCCTCTACTTTCCTGTACTCACTTATTTCCTAATCTCTGAAACATGGCCAGTTTCCCCTTCAAGGTCATAAAGCATTGTGTTTCTTTGCTGCCAACCGGGCTCAACAGCCTCTCATCGCTGTGTCCTGCTGTACCTCCAAGGGCATGTCATGCTGGCAGATTCCCTTTCCCCCCTTGACTTCCAACCTGATCCTCCTTTGCCTCTCTAACTTTCTCTGATGCCTCTTCCTTGCCTTTCACTTAAATATTGGTGTCCCCAAACTTTTTCCTGGTTGGCCTCTTTTCTACCTCTACACTCTCTTTCTTGAAAATATCATTTCTTTCTTCATTTTATTTTATTTTTTTGAGACAGAGTCTCACTCTGTTGCCCAGGCTAGAGTGTCATGGCGTCAGCCTAGCTCACAGCAACCTCAAATTCTTGGGCTCAAATGAACGATCCTCCTGCCTCAGCCTCCCAAGTAGCTGGGACTATAGGTGTTCTCCACCACACCCAGCTTATTTTTTCTATTTTTAGTGGAGGTGGGGTCTTGATTTTGCTCTGGCTGGTCTTGAACTCCTAAGCTCAAGCTATCCTCCCATCTTGGCCTCCCAGAGTGTTAGGATTACAGGTATGAGCCACCTCACCCGCCTAAAATGTCATTTATTTCTATAAAACATCAGTGCCAAGGACTCTCAAACTTATGACCCTCTTCCAAGCTACAGACTTTTAAAATAAATTTCAGAATATTATGGGGGTATAAATGTTTTGGTTACATGAATTGCTTTTGTACTGCTTGAGTCAAAGTTATAAGTGTGCCTATCACCCAGATAGTGTACATTGTACCCATTAGGTATGATTTCACCCATCCCCACATTCCCCCTCCCTCTTGCATGATTTCTGTTGAGTTTTCCTTCCATCCATACTCATTTTTTGAATGCCCTGGTAGACATCATTTGGACATTTTATTGATATCTCAACACTCATCATTTCCAAATCTAATGGATTACCTCTGATCCACCCCACCCCCAACTCCTCTTCAAATAAGCTCTTAGTGCCTCTTTTCCCTTTTCCCTCTTTCCTACAGTAGCACCACAATCATCCCAGTCACCTGTCCTCTAACCCATGGAACACGTGTGGCTCCCAGCCTCTTTTCTATGCCTCTATCTGACAGGCCACTATTTACCAAATTCTTAGAGTTAAGTCCCATGGATCCTATATCTGAATTGCTGTCCATATCCACAACCATAACTCAGGCTCTATTTTATTTTTGTCTCATAATAGCTTCATTTACTGGTGGTCCTACTTCAAACATGGTTCAATTCTTTAAATTCTTGCAGAAGAGTTTCCCTGCACCACGTATCTGAGTATATCATTCCACTGCACAAAAGCTTTTAAAGACGGTGCTCCATCACATGCTGATTTCATCAGAGAATCTCAAGCCCAGTCTCTAAAGCCCATCACAATATTGACTCCCACCTACTTTCCCAATCTCATTTCCCACCAGAGCCAAATGGGACTGACTACTCAGTGGGTGTGTCCCCTATAAACACACCCACTTTTATGCCTCCGTGTCTTCAAATCATTCTTTTATCCTTCTCCAAATATCCCTCTTGCGCCATAGACCTCTTTCTGTCATGATCTTACCAAGGTCCAAGGCCCATCTCCAAGCCACCTCTTTCTTGAAATTTTTCCTAATCTCTCCAACAGTTGGAGAGCACGCTTTCTTTGAGCCTATGTAGTACCTTTCCTTGTCTTTCATTGTGTTTTATGTGCTCTTATTTTATTTCCTCTATTAGGTAGGTATTTCATGAGGGTATTTCACCCTCATGAAGGATGACAGTCACATACTCTACACATTCTTGTGTCAGGGTCCAGCATAAAATCTATAACTTTAATCCCTTTCTATCCCATGCAAGAAAGCATATCAAAAGGCAAGAGGGAGATAACACTAAATTGATTCCTATTTACCTCAAAAGGTAAGTGCACAGGAAAGGGTTAATTCAGAAGTCCTAGGTTGCTCAAATCTTTCACATTCCAAAAAATGGCCTATCTTCAGGACTGGTCCTTGGCCTGGGAAATACCCTCTGAGCTCTTATAATAGTCTGCATGATAAGAGTGTTTAGTATGCCTGAGGCCTTGGGCCATGCTGTACCAGTACAACCAGATAAGTTTATGCTGACAATGTGATTCATGGTCAATGCCTGTTTTTCCTCTGGGGAGCTAGAGACTGGGTAACTGAGGTCAGTCACATGGGTGCTGAATGCCTGTGTAACTGTCCCCCTGTAAAAACCCTAGTACCAAGGCTGGGGGAGCGTCCCTGGTTGGCAACACTTCAAGGGTGTTTTCACGTGTTATTGCTGTGAGATGAAATGGTCCCCACCTGACACCACTGGGAGGGACATCTCAAAGCTTATACCTGGTTTCTCCTGGGCTTTGACCCATGAGGCTTTCACTTTGCCGGTTTAATCTATATCCCTTGACTCTAATAAGACACAACTATGAGTATAGCAGTTTCTGAGTCTTGTGAGTCCTTCTAGCAAATTATTGAGCCAGAGGGTGGTTTGGGGGACCCTTGACACAGCACATCATTCACAAATTCACAAATTTCACAAATTGCTAGTGACTAACCTCACAACTGATTCTAACCCACCAGTGAGTCCTAACACATGGGTTGTACTTTGTGAGGGGAGGGAATATGTCTTTGTCATCTGTTCATCCCCTGCCATGCTTTGCACAGGGACTAGCCCACAGAAGGTTCTCAGGTAATATTTACTTGCAAATATTAGAAGATGTTGAACAAATATTAGAAAATGTCTCTCTAGTTTGGATATCATTCACAAGCCCAAAAAAGCACCATATAAGGCTAAGCTGCAGTAATAAAGAGACCCAAATATACAGTGGCTTAAATAAATAAGACATTTGTTTGTTTTTCTCTTCAACCAATTTTGAGGTAAACAGTCCAGGTTGACAGGCAGTTTTTTCCCATGTGGTCAGTCAGGAACCCAAGTGCCTTCCTTGTGTTACTCAGTCACCTCCTAAGGCAGAATCAGCAGATTACAGTCTGCAGGTCAAATCTACCCTGTCACCTGCTCTTATAAATAAAGCCTTGTTAGAACACAGCCATGCTTACTTGTTTATGTATTGTCTGTGGCTGCTTTTGTGCTCCAAGGGCAGGGTTGAATAGTTGCAACAAAGACTCTGGCCCACAAATTCTAAAATATTTACTCTATGTCCCTTTACCTTAAAAGTTTGCTAAGCCTATAGGAAGACGGAAGAGGGATAGAAGATACACATCTAATATTTTATAGGCAAGGCATACAAGTGACATATACTGCTTTACTCATATCTTCTCAGACCAAAGCTAATCCTATCTCACATAGCTGTAAGGGAAGCTAGACACTATAGTCTTTAGCTCAGGAGTCAGCAAACTTTTTCTGTAAAGGACCAGATAAATATTTTCAGCTTTGAAGGCTGCATGGTGTCTGTCACAATTACTCGGCTCTGCTGTTAAAGTATAAAAGCAGCCACAGACAAAATATAAACAAATGAGCATGACTGGATTCTAATAAAACTGTATATACAAAAAGAGGTAGTGGAGCAGATTTGGCTTGCAGGCCAATGTTTTCCAACCCCTGTGATAGCTGGATGGCCATGTGTCTATCTTGAACTCTGGAGGTTTCTATCATTAAAAGGAAGAAGAAGAGACTGGCTACTAGGGGAGGGATGTCAGTCCCTGACACAAATACCTTTTATTCCCAGGCAAGTTTTGAGAAGGGCTGTTCTCATTTTTTATTTGTTTGTTGATACATTGCATGCTGACTATAGTTGCAGAAGGCATATGTGTTGGAAAAATTGGTCCATTTAGCATTTTTTTAAAAATGGTCTCTAGCGGGCCTGAGTTCCACTCCATACTGAAGAAACCCCTGACAGCCCTCTCTGTTCAGGATTTCCAGCGATCTTTAGCTGACTCATCGTATTTTACTGATTAAAATCCAGGAAACCTAAGGCATAACTATGCTGGATGTGGTTGATTGACACTTTTCATTCAGTCCACCTCTATGTACTCCACAGTCTTGAAAAGCTAAAAATCTGCATTTCACATACCTGCTTTTATCTAGGGTTCTGGAGGCAAACTAATTTCCACCACTGGATGCGCTTGGGCAAGGTCTGGACCACAGTGGTAAGGCAGTAGCTATCTCCCTGCTGCTACCTCTGCTGACAATCAGGTCATGGAGATGTGTCAGAGCAGTTGGGGCAGCTGGATTTAGCATCCATGATTTTGTCACCAACTTTGTAGGTACCAGGAGGCGGCCACCTTGGGACCAGGCCACATTGGGACCAAGAAGCCAGGATCAGGAAGCTAATACTGGCCCTGGAGCAGGAAGAGGCCATCTCAGCAGATTTCACATCATTACTGGAGATGCAGCCTGGGAATATTCCAGTTAGGAGCTCCAGGATTCAAGGAGCAAAGTCACCAAATGACTGATTTGCAGGACCATAGTAGGCTTTCTTGCATGTGTATATTTCCTGGCCACGAAGAAGATGGTCATGTTTTTATCCTGATTTTACACTCAAAAATATGTAAGAAGAGTAATTGGTTTCTAATGAAGTTCTGACCAGATGTTCCACTATCAGATCATCATCATGTCTCACAGATGATACCAGTTGTATATGTTTATGGATGCCACATAACATCTTTAGACTTCAGTTTCTTACTCTGTCAAATGACAGCATGTGATGACCTTTGTAAGGGTTTGTTCTGTTCTAAAATCCTGTGAGCTATTAATATAATTAAAACCAGAGACATACTACATCCTTTTCTGCCCTGAAGGACTGAGCCAGCTACAGATTCATCTCAGTGCTGTTGGTACCTATTATGGGCTAAATTATGTCCCCTCAAAATTCATATGTTGAAGCTCCAAACCCCAATACCACAGAATGAGACTATATTTTCAGATAGGGCCTATATAGAGGTATTAGTTAAAAAGGGGTAATTAGGTAGGGCCCTAATTCAGTACAACTGATATTCCTATAAGAGGAAGACACACAGAGAGAAGAGCATTAGAGACACATGTGAAGACATAGGGAGAAGGTGGCCATCCACAAGCCAAGGAGAGAGGACTCAAGAGAAACCAAACCTGTCAACATCTTGATCTCAGACTTCTGACCTCCACAATCATGAGAAAATAAATTCCTGTTGTTTTAGTCACCCATTGTATAGTATTTTGTTATGGTAGCCCTAGCAAACTAATACAGTGACATCAAAATAAAACTTTCCAGCAAGTTTTCTGACAGCAAGAGAGGAAAAGACTGAGAAATTTCACTATAGAATTCTATAGAATTAATGACCAGGAATGTAGGTGAACATCCATAAATAGGAAGCACAATATTCTACCAGAGAAAGCTGTCTTAGATAAATATTGGGCAATATTTCTACTTGGTAATAGAAAAAGTTATTAGCTTTACAGAGTATATGTAAAATGTCCCTTGATATTTAAGAAGTATTGGGATGACAGAGTAAAAAAATCTAGAGCTCATAGAATCTGTACAATTTCTTAGAGAAAGTCAGCAATCACCTTTTCGGTTATAAGTTGAGATACAACAATAAGTTACTCTGCTCACTGCTGCGGGATGTGTTGAATTCTTCCCTCAGCGTTCCCTTAGGTGAGTCTTGCTCTCTTTAAACACTGCTGCCAGCCACTCTCCTCTCAGAGCCACCCAAGTCTGGCAAATAAGAGCACCGAGAGGTAAGGGGAAGGGTCTGGTTTCTGGCCATGCCATGACCCACCTCTCTGCATCTGTAGCCCAGCAATCCCACACCTGAGATCATTTAGCTCCCACCTGTAGGCTCAGTGCTGCCCTCCCTCAAAGGAGCAGCTCCTTTCAAGCCTGGGTGACTGTAGCTTTGTTGATTCAGTATCAAGTAAGCTTTGGTCCACCTGCCTCAGATACTGAACTTCAAAGAATGCAATGACTTGCCCAAGGTTGCCCACACATACCTGGTGATGTCCTGATTTCCAGGGCCACTCCACTACCCTAGGGATTCTCTGCCTTTTCCATATTCTGAAACACATGTAAATGATAATAGTCTATAACACTATGGGGAGGGAATGACCCCAAGTTGGGAACTGTGATGCTTTTCCCCCACTGCATCCATTAACGACAATAAGTAGAACCAAGACTATATACCCTGTTGCTATACTACACTCGTACTTGAGGGTGACCATGAGACACCTATCAAGAACTTGGAAATGAGTGAAATTATATTGCCTTCTACATATTACATAGTAAGATCATTACATATTAGGCTGTAAGAGGGATATACAAATCACTTGAAAAAGACAGCATGTTTCCCAGGAAGCACAGTCAATTTTAACTTCACTAAAAGCATAGAAAATGTAACAAGAACATGAATCATCACCATAGAAATCCAGAAAATAGGACGATGAATATAGGCTGAGACTGTTCAAGGATGGGAAGCCTTAGCTATTAGTCTTCAGCTTCTCCCTTTATCAAGACCATCCTGATGGTGAGATTATGCTTGGCCATGTCATCCTGATGCTATTAATACTCATTCATCTAAATCTCCTTATCTTGATTCCATGCACACAAAGTGTCCTTTTCATTTTAATTTTGCTTCCCATGTAACTCTGCCTTGGGGAGGAGGGCAAAGGAATGAACTGCTCATAGGGACGTCCAAGAGTTTTGGTCCCCAAGATAGGGATGTCTCCTGATAAATCAGTGAGATGACTTCTGATTATTACTTGGGTTCCCATGAAGTTTGTACAAGGAGAGAATGCTCTGGAATAGGCCAAGGGGAGCTTTCCTGTCCATGTGATGACTATATATTTTATGTAAATTAATTTTTGACATTCTTGGATCTCATGCAAACTAATATTTATTTTTATTGGCATGGATAACTTACTGCCTGACCACCAGGCACTGCCAATAATGAGATTCTGAGTCTTTGAGGAAGTGACTGGACCCTTACATGAGGGAACCTAATTGAGGGTCTGTAATGTGTGGCCATGCCCAGCTCCAGTGGGCCATTCCTTAGACCACACCACTATTTCCACCTTTATTCTGTCTCCTAATTTCTGCATAACTCATGTCTCTTTCAGAAATAAGATGTCATCTTGAAACAAGTGATTGTGCTGGGTGGTTCTGGTCTCCAGGTTCAGATGACTCTGAAAGAGTTATATTTAACAAATCTGGTTTACCCCAGATATCCATAGCCAGATAAAAAGACAATGAGAATTTTTCCTTGTGACATTGTGCCTTGCAAGCTATTCATCTGGTACTAGAAAACCTAGCTTTTTTTTTTTTTTTTTCAAACTCCAGCAATTCTATATCCTCTGAGGCCATGCTTCTCAAACTTTAAGGTACACTTCAGTCACTTGGAGATCTTTGATAAAATACAGGTTCTGATTCAGTGGATGTGGGCTGGGGCCTAAGATTATCCATTTTTTAAAATCCCCTAGTGATGCCAGTACTGCTGAGAGACCACACTCTGAGTGGCAAGGCTGTGGGGAGCATGCATAGGTAGACCAGCTGCTCACCTACATGCTGGGATGGAAGAGGCAGAAGTCAAGGCCCCTGGCCCTCTGAAAAGAGTTAATTCTAAGATCTGTCATGTCATCATCATGGTTTTATGCTTTTGTCTCCAGGAAATTTTTCTGGTTACAGAAATCCTTTGTTAAAATGTAAATATTCTTTGATGAAATCATGCATTAAGTCCAGCTAATACCATGATTATAGCAATGCCTTAGGAGGAATCCTAGACATAAAGATAATAGTCAAGCTATCAGGAAGGTTGCAAAAAGGGATGCAGTTCAAAAAGAAAGAATATTGAATAGGAATGCTTTTAGTTGCAAGGAACAAAAAAACCAATTAAGAATGATTTAAGCAATATAGACACTCATATCTCAGCTAATAAGAAACCTAGAGTTCAGGGATATATCATATCATCAAGAATTCAGGCTCTTTCTGCCCACCATACCCCAGATTCTCCATCTTTGGTTACTGGCTTTTTATCCTTGTGCTTATTGCCTCATGGCCCCAAAATGGCTGCTGCAATTTCAGTTACCACTTCCACACTGAAAATGGAAGGAAAAGGAAGTAGCACTGCAAGCCATATCTTTTCAGGGAAGGGAAATCCTTAACAGAAGCTTCAAGTAGGCTTCTCCTTACATCTGATTGTTTGGAATTGGATCACTTACCTTCCCTTAAACCAATTACTAGCAAAGGGGAATGAGGTTGCTTAATTGGGATTAGAGGAGGGACCTAGTCTTTCTAATAACAAGGCAAACTCAGTATTACAAAATCAGGGAGTGAAACACAGAGTGAATGGCATTGAGTAGATCATGAGAAGTGCCTGCCCCAGGAAGAAACCAATTCATACTTGTAAAGTAGCCAGCAGAATGCCAAAGAATGAACACTGGGTATTGTCAGAAGAGTGATTTGCCGTGTTGAGAGAGACAGAGAAATGGGGAAAGATGCTCAGAAGTGATGGGTCTAGTTCTTGAATAAAACAAAGAATCTAATATAAACATCATCTAATTTAAACCTCCAACAATCCTATGAGACAGGGATCATTTTCCGTATTTTATAGATTCGAACACAAGGAGACTAAAACCTTGCCCAAAGCCACACAGTTTGTACAGTTGGTCCTCCCTGAACATCGTCAATAGGTTCTTGGAAACTGTGACTTTAAGCAAAACAACGTACAGTGGGTCCTTGAATGACATAGTTTAGCTCAAAGTCCTTCAGTTATATGTTGATGAGAAAAAGAATTGGTTTTGTTATATGTTATTTTGCTTAAAGTCACTGTTTCCAAAAACCTATTGATGACATTCAGTGAGGACTTTCTGTAACTGGAAGATTTGGGATCCCAGTGGGCTCACTGATTCCAAAGCTGTGTTCCTCATACAGATACTTTACGTATATGTTCAGACGAGGGTCTTACTCAGAGGGGTCACTTTGTGAGTTTTATACACTTGTTCAGGGATCCTGCTTTGCTGAAAAAATCTTTACACTCTTTTTTTGAAATCACTTTCAAGACAGCTTACTGGCCACCCAGGGACAGGGAATGTGGGGGGATTGAAAATAGCTATATTGCTTTATGGCAGTCACATGTCAAACATGAAGTTCCAGATCTACATCATAAAACATATGTCTCTAACTCAGAACACATTCTGTGTCTCCTCTCTGCCATCACCTCTGCTCCACCAGACACTGTTATCATCCTCCTATTACAAAAATATTACAGGCTTATTGAGGGAAACACAGAACTTTGGAGCAGAAACAAAAATTCACTCTAGGGCTACATTGAAAGTTTGAGCATTGCATTTGCCTTCCTTAATTTTCTACACTGGGTCCCTATTCACTCCAGATATAAAAAGCTTTCCACCATCACATTGGGTATCTTGTCTGATGGGAATCCAACTCAGGCAATTACAGAATTATGGTGGGGGGCATCTTATTTGGGCCGGCTTGTCTAATAATTTGTTTCTGCTTCTATTGATTAAGTTTCTTTTGAGTTGCCTCCAGCAATTAGGCATTCAGATCCCTGAGGCAAGGATCAGTGCTGTGAACTCCCAAGAGAAACAGATGTCTGGGAAACTTGTCCTATTCTTTGAACTTCTGGCCCCCTGATTCTGCCTGGTGGGGAAATTACTTGGCTTCTGTTATTGCTGTTGGTCTTCCTTGGCCTGCATGTACCTGGCCTAGGCTGTCTGTCCCCTTTTCTGAGCTGCCTTGAGTGTTGAGTGTCTGGATAGGATGAGAATGTCTCATTCCTTGGCACAGTTCTCATAAATATCATTATCAAGACTCTGGATAATTATCTAGACACTACAGATGCTAGATTTCACAGCCTTTTTTTAAGAAATAAAGTGCTAGTATGAGCTATAGCAAAAAGAATAATGGAAGGATGAGTGTGAGGGGGGTCTAGAGAGGAGGAAAGCCAGTTCTTACCACCTGCTAGAAATAGGCTGAGGCATTTTTGGCATATGTTATATCATTTCATCCTCACAAGCCTGGGAAGTACGTATTATATTTTACATTTTGCATGGATACTGAGGCTCAGAGAGGCTGAGAAATTTGGCTAAGGTCATACAGCTTATAAATGGAAAATCTG